TATGGCTGGTAGAGGCTGTGTGTGCTTTCTCCCCCAGTCGCTTACAGGGGACCCAGTAAAGGGAAGAGGAGGTTATGCCTTATCTCAGGTTTTTAAAAACACAAATTTCTCTTGGTCTCCTCCATCTCATCTCTTCTCTTTCTCTATGCCTCTCTCGATAGATGGTGCACTTGCAGACGTTCCATGAGGGTAAAATAGTCTAAGCACAGAAATGAGACTTTTTAGGAGAGGTGAACAACAGGGGTAAGGCACAGAGGTGAGACTGTTTGTATCATGTTCCAGCAGTGGAGTCTCCAGCACATGGTGGAGAGCACTGGATTCCAGGCATGGGATTTGGGGCTTACCATGTGGGTAAGGGAGAGCTCCTGGGGACCAGAAGACCAAGGTCAAGGTATGCTCCTGGGTGGCAGCCTGATCAGCCTCCAGTGCCTGGGGGTATCATGACATCGAGTACAGCTTTCAGAGGGCCTTCCTTGAAGCCAGAGGACAGATCCTTTCCTGAACTGGAGCTGGGGGTGAGGAGGGTGGTAGTGGTGGAGACCTGTTCTATTTTCTAAGCCTTTGTCTTTTGCATTGGAGTCCAGAGGGTGGGGGTGGAGTAGGACGCCCACTGGATCCTCCAGAGAGCATGTTTGGGAGAGTCTTCCAGTGACACTGTACACTGGACAGGTGTTGCATTGCAGCTTCTCCCTGGACCCACCGTCATCAAGGCTCTGGACAGGTTTCTGACTGCTCCTACTGAGCCATCCTGGGGCATGCAGGGCCTCGCCCTGCAGGGCAATGCTGCTAAAGGCTAGTGTGAGCACATGGGAGCTGCTGCTGGGCTTCCAAACTCATCACCTCTCTCCACAGTGGTTACTAATAGCTCCTGCACCATCTCTACTACTTGCTTTAAAAGAAAGGATTATTTAAATACATGTGTTGTTTGAAGAGACAAACGTGGCACCCAACAAAATTGAATAAAGTTACCAACTTAATAGCCAAACATTGCTGCTTGTTTCAGACTTGGACTAAGGTCTATTGCTCATCTGCAGGCAAAGACCTGGGCGTGTCTCCATGCCACAGTGGCAGCAGAGAGGGAGCTTGGTAGACCCAGGTTATGTTCCTTGGAGATTTCCTGGTCCTGCCCTCTATCTGCCCAGGTAGAGAAGCAGGGTTGGCATGCACTCAGAGGGTGTGAATGGGAAGCCAACTGAAATGTGTCATATGTAGGGAATGGGCACTCTGTTGTGATGAACATAATAACTTGAGATGTCTACAACTGTGTGATCAATGCTACTGATGGTCTGTGGGTGCTAAAGTCCCAAGTTCGTTATACATGCTTCTCATAGGAAAAAACACCGTTTTAGAGACTAATGGAAACAAAAGTGTAATTTTCTATATTGTAGTGCATAGGACCCTACATTTTACTCCAGATCCCAAGACCCCAGCTTCAAACTCCTGCTCCATGCCTTCCCGGCAGGCCATAGAGACTCATTCCTGCCCGTTTCACTGGCCAGGTTACATGAGGGTTTCTCACTTTTCATGCTGTTTCGAGTATTCCCCACCCAGGGGAAACCAGCCCTACAAGGAGCACATGATCCCTTGGCTGCCAGTGCTCCCGGGAGGATCATACTGGGCCTCCAAGGATGCACAACCTGGACCAGATGTGGTAGTGCTTGGTCATGCGTGCTAAAGGACTACCAGGCAGAGAAGCCCAAGGCAATTCCAGGCTAAAGCTGCGTGCTGCTCAAAGTCAGAAGTCTTAAGACCGC